AGGAACTGGATTGTATTGCTAAAGGAGGGCAACTACGGGTTTATATAGTACTAGATGAACCCATCATGTGACTTAAGGCCACCAATAGCTCTAGGCTGCAGCAGGTGGCATTGCTAGGCAGCAGTACGCCAAAGGAGTGTTGGTGGCTAGCGCATGGAGAGCTCCGTAACTGCAAACAGTAACGCTGTTGCTACGTACAGACACTTTATAATTATATTAGAAAATTCTTCTATTAAGTTTTTAAGTAAGTGTAGTTTTAAAACTTTATAAATTATTATAGTAAATTAAATACTTAAAATTTAGCTTTTATAAATTACTTAACATACACTATAGGTAAGTTGCTTACACACCTAAGTTACTTACTTTTACTAAGACTCTACTAAACTACTTTTTCTATACTAATGTATTCTTAACAATACTACTTAGATATGCTAAAAGAATATTAGATATAGCTTATACTTTAGGCTTTTAAATAAAACAAAACACTTTTAAAGTAACATACTACAGCTATGTATAAAGTCTTTTAAAAAATAATAAATAACAAATATACTAAATAACTTTTAGAAGCTAATTCTATAGCTAACTTATAAAAGCTTAATAATAATAAAAAGTAGGTAACATACTTTACAGGCAAGTTGCTTACACACCTAAGTTACTTACTTTTACTAAGACTCTACTACACTACTTTTTCTATACTAATGCATTTCTAATAACACTACTTAGACATGTTAAAAAAACATTAGATATAGCTTATACTTTAAGCTTTTAAATAAAATCTAACACTTTTTAAGTAACACACTACAGCTATTTATAGAGTTTTTTAAAAGATAATAAGTAACTAACACACTGTTACAATCCTTGCTCTTGTAAAATGGTATTTTTAAGAGCACTACGGCCTATGATGTTGTTATTGAGAGAGGGGAAGGACTTAGCTGGATCGGGTGTACAGTCTGTCAAGCAGAGTGCAGGATAGTTAGTTGTGTCAAGAAGGCAGGTTGTGGTTTAGCCCAGCAGCTGTATGGGGAGCTGGCAAACCTAATCTGTAAGGATAGAAAAGGAGGTATATATAGTGCAAGATATATAAGGCGGCAATGTCCTCTTTGTAAAAGTTTTAGTGCCTCTTAGTCTATTAAGTAGGTAAAGACTAAATAGTAATTACAGCCTTCTAACTATAGTTGTGATCAAGACTATATACATAGGGTTTGCATGCTCTGCATGCTATGCATGCTTGCATGCTTACTGCCTGTATAGCCTGCATAACCTGCAAGCCTGCAAGGCCTATAATCCTATTAGATAATGCACTCTGCTAGGCTTTTATCTAAAAGCTAGAGCTATTTCTTATTTGTCTTGTTACGTAATCTATCTAACACAAGGTTAAGCGTTTTCTATCTAACGTTGCCTAGGCTATAGGGAACAGCTAATTAGGCTATTACAGTCTGTCTGTTAGCTGTAACACGCAGGCTTCCCTCCTAGTTAGCGTCCTTACTGTTATGTTTTTTCTATTATAAGCGTTAGGTTTTTTTTTTAGCTAGTGCGTGCCTATCTTTAAAGCCTTTGCTAATGTTTAGCTTTCTTAACTATGCCTTATTAGGCCTTCTGTTTCTCTGCTGCTGCCTATTACCTTTGCACTGTAGCCTGTCTTAATCCTCTTTGTTGTACTAAGATGCGTCCTTATAGTGCCTGTTGTTTAGGCAGTTTCTCTTGCGTAATGTCCCTGTTATTAGACAAGTGTGTAGAGTGCATGCAAAAAGAGAGTTGTTGTAACGCTTTTATGTCTAACACAGCTTAGGATTATCTAGAGCAGGAGCGTGAAAAGCTGTTAGCAGAATTAGAAGCAATTTAGAAGGATAAGATGCGTAAAAAAGAAGAGGAGGTCTAAATAAAAAAGGCTGTCAGATTTAAGCACTGTTTCTAGGCTTCCTAAGATGAATGATGGGTTTGGATATGATGTATGGGATGATTGATTGATTGTCTTGATCTATCGATCCTTTTTCTGCTCTACTCGTGTTGCTTGGCTTTTGTTTTTCCGATCCGAGTCCCTCGCGCACTAGCCCTATGCGCGACCAGCTGCAAAATGCTGCAGAATGCTGCAAAATGCTGCAAAATGCTGCAATTTGCAGCAACATACTGTTCGAGCTTATTGCTCGTACTATGTAGCAGCTTTCGTCAAACGTTCCTCCTGTCTTGACAGTAGGTGCGCATATCTGACAAAGGCATTGCTAAAATGTTTTTAGTTAATTATTTTTTGTTAGAAAAGAGCCTGTAAACAGTTAAAAGTGTTAGAGGGTTAAAAAGTAAAGTATTTAGAAGAAGACCTCTTATCTTTAGATAAGCTTAAAGCGCTTAAAGCAGAGGCTGCAGGTCTTTCTTCTCCTTAACCTATGTTAAAGAGTTGTGGACTTTCTACATTACAGCTAGCTAATGTTGCTGTAGTTTTAACTAATAATAATGCTTTCTAGACTAGAGAACTTTCTCTAGGGTAGTTCTGTTTAGAAAGGACTCTAAGTATTTGTAAAAGGCTTAGGGGGTGTTTAACAGGCTTTTAATAGGTTTCTAAGTGCTTTTACTAGTAGGCTATCTTTTTTATTTAATTAAGTACTTGTTTTCTTAATAGTTTAGAATTTGTTCTATTTTATATTCCTTTTCTTCTTCTTTTTATCTAGTAGTTGCTAGTAGGGTAGTCTTAGGCGCAAGTTTAAGCTTAGAGATGTAGAACTAAGAGTGTATTTACATTTCCTTAAGTAGCTTAAGCTTACAGATGCTAAGGTGTGTTTATATAACTTTATAGGGTCTTATGTGTTTCTTAGTAAGCTTCTTAGAGGGTTATAAGTTTTTAAGGTTCTTTATGTCTAAATATATGTAGTTATTAGGGTGTATTTTAGGTATTAATTACTTTTTCTAATTTACTGCTTTTTTTATAGTGTTTTAAGCTAACTGTGCTTCTCTACTTAGTTTCTAGTGTAGTTCTAAAAGTTTAGTTGTCTAATTTGTAGCCTCTAAGAGTGTTACAATCCTTACTCCGGCGAAATGGTGTTTTCGGGAGTACGTCGGCCTATAGTGGGGTGTAAGCGGAGGGGGTAGAACTTAGCTGGATCGGGTGTACAGTCCGTCGAGCAGAGTGTAGGGGAGACGGGATAAAGAGGAGGCAGGTTGTGGTTTGTCCTGGCAGCTGGTATAGGGAGCTGGCAAACCTGATCTGTGGGGATAAGATTAGAGGTATATGTAGTGCAAGATATACAAGGCAGCAATGTTCTGTTAGGAAAAGTTTTAATGCTTCTTAGTTTATTAAGTAGATAAGGCTAAATAATAAACTAAACAGTAATCACAACCTCTTAGCTATAGTTGTGATTAGAACTATATACATAGGTTTTGCATGCGTTTGCATGCGTTGCAGGTGTTGCATGCATTGCCTACAAC